GAGTCTACCTGCCAAATTTTTATTTTTTATACCGGGTGGTTGTTGAGTTTTGGCTAAAAACAAATTCAGGCGAAATTCATAAAACGCCCTGTATCTGGGTAATGAGATGTGATAGACCTATTAATAATGGATGATTTCGAAACACCCAAGTGTTCCACACCAACAGTTAACGTATGTACATTACATTCCGAAACACCCTGTATAATTTTTTTGCGCATTATTTGAATTTTCTTAATCTCTCGCGGGCCGAATTAAAGCTGGCGGAGGGCCGGATTAAAGCTGACATAGGGCCCCATCCGGCCCTAGGGCCGGGGGTTGCCCACATATGTTCTAAGGAACACAAGAGGTTGTAATATCCGCTGTTGTCATGCCTATTTCATTATTCTCGTTTTGTTTGCAAAATTATTTACAACTCTTAATAATTCAACCCATTTTATTGCAACTGAACCCAAAAAATTTGAATCATTAGTTATATAAAATTTAACTAAATGTAATAATTGTCAATAAATTCCAAAACCTAGTTAAGTTAGGTTGGAAATCTAGTATTTGGTACTAGATGTGGCAACATGGCTTGCATTTTCTACGTTGTTTATTATAAGCGCACAAGCGCTTACACATATATTCATGGGCGTCGTTTGGGGGGGGGGGGGGGGGGGGGGGGGGGGGGGGCAAGGGGGGGGCAAGGGGGGGCAGTTGCCCCCCCTGGCTTTTACGACTTAATCAACAACGCGTAAGATATTTCCTTATTACGTCGCTTACATCACGCTTTTCCGAAGACTTTGTTAGTTTTTCCTTAAGCCTGTTGCATCCCAAAAACAAAAAAATACTTTTTTCACTACCGATTAGAAAATGAAAGTAGTGGAAAAATTTGGAATCGACAATTTTGAAGCTGAATACCAAACTAGAGTACGAAAGAGCTTTCTGCACACAATAAGTTCTCCATTAATGATATAGAGTCCAAACATTGTGAATTTTATCAGACATACAAAGTGGTTTAGAAAATATTTATGGCTCTTCTACCAACGACAGAGTTAATCGAAACATTTGGAACGCTAAGGCATGTTAAAATATGGCTGCGGTCTATTCGAACAGTGCGAAGTCATGGTAGGGGAAGCAAAAGCGATACTAGCGCAAGCTGCGGATAATTTGAGTATTTTAGGGCGATATTTTGTAATTTTAGCTAATCAATTACACGTATACATTTTACTTTTTACTAAAAAAATAGGTAAAAACAATAAAATGAGCAACCGGAGTTGCTATGTTTCAAATTATACTAGCAAACAAACTGTAAATTATATAAATTTTCAATAGCAAAATCGAAATTAAATCAAAGAAATAAATGGACAGCTGTATAATAAGAACAAAAAACCTTTATTTTTGTAATAATTAAACAATAAATTATTTTTTTATAATATTCTTTAACATCCCTTAAATCTTAAATGTTTGGCAAATGATTAGATTTCTGCCTTTGATTATTGTATATGGCTGAAATGCAATCTTGTGACTTATTGATACGAAACCAGTTAAATTCATTAATTTCTATGAGTTCTTTTGAACTAAAAATGAAAATATAAATTACAGTCGCAAATATACCAATTATTTTGGTCATTACGTTTTAATTCTACGTTATTATATAATGGTAATATTATTATTTTGACATATTTAACCTATTCTTAAATGACAACTTATTAGGCTTAGGCAAGATCTCATACATTTTCTCGTAAATAACTGCCTGTTTTATTATTGATTTTTATTGACTTTTTTTTTAGCTGAAATAATAAAAATATATAATAACAGTAATCATTTTTTCACTTGTTTTACAAATCCATTTACTTCCATTAAAATTAACATATTTATTTCTTAATTACGAACTCTATTAAAAATTCTATTGTCAGTATACGCAAATATAGTCCGTTAGTTCACGGAGCGAATAGTGAATGAAAGTAGGCTGACTGAAAAATAAATTATGTTTTCTGTTATCGGTGTTTTTAGTAGAGAAAAAAGAAATTTAAAATTACGTTTTCCCAGTGTTTTTGTCACATACTTTGATTTTCTTTTTCTATACGGAGAATGGTCGCACTGCGCAGCTTTCTGAGTGCCTTTTAAAAGGAGATAGAAAACTCCGTCATTTTGAACCCTTATTACGTGTTGCCTACATTTTGGCGCAATATTTTTAATAGGTGCGTTTTAATCATCCACTTCTGCTTCTGAATTGTCGGTTTTCTTGTTTTAATCTGACATTTTGCTTGCTGCTGTCAGTGTCAGTGAATATTATTTTTGAAGTCACAGTTTATTGCTAAAGAATCAGTTAGCTCACTCGGACCAGTTGAAAGTTCCAAAATAACATCCACTCTAGGGATACAAATTCAGGATACGCAGAAGACTGCTGTTTTATTATAGGCGGTTGTCATATATTGTATTATCCGAGTTGCACAGTGTATAAACTGAAACATTGAGATCAAAAGTGCCGACGCAGAGTGAGCGATCTGATTCTTTAGCTGTAAACTGTGTCACAGGGTTCAAAATGGCCGCGCCCTATGTTGGGCGTGTCGGACCTCTCTCTTGCCTCGTAATAAAAAAATGTGGTTTTTGTGTTTATTGACATGTTTGAGTGAGTTTTTTTATGTTTTTGTTTTTTATAAATTTTAATTTTTTTATATTATTATGTTTATATTTTTCTTGTATATCACACCTGTCTGTTTTTTAAAAATGTGCTTTAAGTTTCTTGTTTTTTTTTAATTTTAGTTTTTGTCTTTTTTGTTTGGTTATTTTATTTATTAGACTTGTTATGACAACTTAAGTATCAATTCTGTCAAATAGGTCAGTGACATTGTTAGGGTTACTACTAAAGTTCCACTCCCCTTATCTTCACTATTCAGAATATCTGAATAATTTTGTTCTGTTTGAAGGACTGGAAAAAAATACTTTCTTATGATGGATTCAATTATTCTGTGACGTCATGACTTACTTCCGATTTTTCCGGAAATAATGAAAATCGAAATTTTTTTATTTTTAAACGGAAACCCTCTTTTTATTGTAAATTTAAATTTCTGGGACATTTTTGTATAATAATCGTGTATTGAAAATTTTCTGTCAGCTGTCAAAATGGCCGCCATATGTTACTATTAATTTATGGAAAATAATATAGGAATGTACGATCTTTATAAAATCTTTGTAAGCTTCAAAATTCCCATTGAGACCCATTTACTGTATACCAGTGGCTTATCTAAGCATTTTTATTATTAGCAAACCGTTTAATATTTCCATCCGCTTTTATCTTCGTTGTTAATTGAGATATTGGAATAAAAACTTTTTTGTTTAAATGCTTTGTGACGTTATAGCTTAATTCTAGTTTTTCGGAAATTACAGAAAATTTCAATTTATTTTTTATGGAAAAGAATCATGTGTTGGAAAATTTTCTGTCAGCTGTCGAAATGACCATCATATTGGAAAATATTTTTTTTAATATGTTACAGAAAATTTTCAATACACGCTTCTTATACAAAAATGTCCCAGAAATTCAAATTTTCCATAAAAAAAAAGGGTTTTCATTTAAAAATAAAAAATAAATTGCGATTTTCTGTTATTTCTGGAAAAGCCATAAGTAAGCCATGACGTCACCCAATAATTAAATTCATCATAAGAAAATTCTCTTTTATTTTTCATTTCCTTTGTTTTCCAATAAATAAACATTCTATTTTTGTTTTTAAATTTTGCTCCTCCCTATAAAATTGTGTAACGACGCCCATGCATATATTCATTGATAAAAAAAAATTATCACTGTAAAATCCTTCTGTTTATTCCCACTTTTACCTCTCACCACACGTCTCTTCACTCCGGATATACAACTGGAGCGTATTGACTATCGAATTGATGTTGACAGCATGAATATTATACTTTATTAATGAATAGCTACATCTCTTGTTAACTCTGGCGCGAACGCAACCTCTATTATATCTCGATATTCCAGCAATAGGATTCTCCGTTTAACACACTGAGATTCGTATGTAATGTCTCTCTCTCTAATTCATACGTATCTTGTCGAGTTCGCACATAAGAATCCCTATCCCTGTACAGGAGTGCTTTTAGAAACTTCGCACGGAGCGTCTGGGCCCTATTTTAATGTATGTGGTCAGACGCGCCGTGCGTATTTTCTAAACGCACTCCTGGTATAACATAAGTGGTTCAGATGTTCAGAACCAATAACGGATGGAAAAAATTTTACCGCGAAAGTAGAAATAGAAACTGCGCATACGAAAAGTTACTATTAATTCAGAATAAGGTCACAATTGTTACCGCGAACGAAACTATTATCTAGGGGTGGGTAAAATAATCGATAAATTATTTATTAACTGATTATTTTCGATTAATCGATTATTTTCGATTAATCGATTATTTTCGATTAATCGATTATTTTCGATTAATCTATTATTTTGATTAACCGATTATTTATTTTGACAATTGCTCAGCCTTAGTTAAGATTACTTTTCGATTTCGATTTTACACCTATTTGCACATTAACTCTTTTGCAGATACAAAAAAATGCCTACAATATCTAAGATTCAGAAAAAACGCGTTTGATATCCCGTATTTCGTTGAAAAAGGTAAATATCCGGTCATGTGGTCGAAATTCCTACACCGGAAGTGGCAAAACCAGACGACAAAAAAAATGCATACGAGCGATTTTTTCATTGTTATTGACGTCTAGAAGCATATATTTCATTGTAGCAAAAACGGAAAAAATTCTTCAACAATCAACTTTACTTTGAATTTAACAGGTCACATGATCGCTCCCACCACCGGGACATAGTACATATTGTTCACCCCTTCCCCTATACTTAAACTACAAAAAGCAAGCAAAAAATACGACGTCACTATTTGCAGTCAGATGAGAGATTTACGTGCGAAAATTTGGATAAATAGATCCCTATGAGAATTCTTCACGGGAAAATTTGTATTTGTGTTACATATCTTTAAAAGTTAGAATAAAAATGACTTACCTGGCTCTCATAGTCGCATCCATCCGCGTCCACTTGTTCCACAGCACCCGCCTCCAGAAGCAGCTTAAGCACCTTCTGATCCGTCGGCAAGAAAGCACCGAAATTTACACCAGCCATTTCGTTGCCCTCCAACAGACATTCCTCCACGCTGCACCCACTGTTGATTAACCAAAGCACTGTCAACGTATGAAAATCCAGTATGCCATTCTTCGTTTGATCACGAGACGAAGCGTTGTTTTGCGATGAACCGTTCTCCACGTTATGCGTCACTTCAGCGACCTTAGAGTGATGATTTTTTGATTTCTTGCTCTTGTTAATTTCGGCATAAATAGGATTTTTATCCGACACGGGACTCTTTATGTTAATATTCTCATACTGCTGCTCTAATTTGTTTAAACTTAGATCCAAATTGAACTGACATTCGTCCAAATTGTTTTGGCTCACTTCGGTCTCGACGAAACTAGTTTCCAAATTCTCCATATCCAGTTCCTTTTCGTAAGTTTTCGATAATTCCTGTAAAGCTTTGAGATCCGAGTATATTTCGGTCGACGTTTTTTCTAAACTATTGTCGCCTTGAGAAGTGGAATTGTGTTTTTCTTGCGACAATTTGCATATCAGCGTGGGACATTTTTGATTTGATTTTTCGGATAAATATTGCTCCATTCGCGTCAAGTGAAAAGCGTAATCGTATATCTCTTGGTTGTTCAATACCTTGGCGTGTAAGGTATAATACATTGCTAGTATACAGTGTCCGTGGAAAATATTGCATAAATATTTCTGAGTACAATGTTTAATGTCAAGAAGCCATTCCGCAAAGGAATGGTGGAATAGTCTTATAGTGCCTCCCTTCGAAACCATAATTACCCTCCGCAACAGGTGATACCTTTTCTTAAAATCCTCTGTGGTTATTTTAGGATTGTATACTTTGACAATGTCGTATAAAAGAACGTCGTTTAAAGCACATTTCGCAGCAAGAATTACATTCAATAATGGCTGCACTTTTGCAAATTGTCTTCGGTTAAATAATCTTTGACATAACCACAAATACAACCCATTCAACGTCCCTGGTATCTCCCTAACCTCTCTTAACACTATAAAGCTATCGGAAACGCCGTCTAATACTTTTTCTAAATACAAAAAGCAACCGTTGCTTTTTATATGCAGCTGGTTCAGCATTTCGGCCGTGTCCCTGCTTATGTGCTGTCGTAAACTGTTCTCTTGGTCTAACCTAGCTAGAATATATTGCTGTACATCACGAACTACTTGGGATTTTCTCAAATCGTCTAAACTTAACTTTCTAAAACCTGTAAACATTTTAGCAATACTTTTCGATTGTTTTCTTGCCGTACACACTAATAGTAACCACTGGGGGAAGAGATGATGGTGATTTGCTAATAACTCAGCTATAGTCTTACTTTGAGAACTTCGTTCTCTAGGTTTGCACCTGGTTAGGGTGGAATTTGAATATACAAAAGAATGTTCATCTATAGAATCGATTAATATGAATAAGGAGGTTTTTGGAGGGTCTATTTCGAGCAAAGGGAATAAAAGTGCTCGTTTAAGGCAGTCGTCTGGGTTCAGCTCTATATTTTTAGCTCTAAGCGCTATCTGTATCTCCGGATCCGATTTTAGTTTTTCTAAATACGCATCTGCTATAACGGTACGTGGATTGATCGGCAGACTTGGTATCGGAGGAGTCTCGTGCAATTTTTTAGAATCTAACGAAGGAGACAGCAAGCTATCCGAGTATACATTACTGTACAAATTTTCTGGAGGCAAACTACAATTCTCAGACAAATTTTGTTCATAGGAAATATTTTTTGCTATCTTAGGACTCAAGCCTTTGCCGCTATCATCCTTTTGTGTTTCTTGAGCTATTCTTCGTCTGATGCTCCGTTCCCTGTGACTTTCGGTGGAATGATTCAAAATTTGTGTTACCAAAGATCGTACAAACTCGCTCAGTGACAAACTCTTTTCGTTATGGCCCTGTAGAAAATGGTAACATAGTAAACGTCTATTTAGAGCCCTCTGTTGTCTGCTGGCAGGTCCCTGAGAGGGCCAGCAAAGTTCGGAGCAAAATGTTGTTTTGCCACAACCAGGACCTCCTAATAGAAGGGCCCCACAGGTTTTTGAAACTGGTCGTTGATCCAGACAATGTGAAAGTTTTTGAAACGCCCACTCCCTACAGTAAAACTTCTTTTTGTCCTCTTGAGTAGCCATTTTATACCACAAAAATATATATCTTAACTTTTAAACGTTATTTGTCTCTATAAGGACGTTGCGATCAATCTTTTTCTTTTTTTTTATACAGTCTTAAGGTTTCTGTTACGTATCTCAGTTAAGCTTGAGAAACTACATTTTTTTAGCGAATATTTCACCTACTAAAGCAAGATTTGTGTAGTTTTGTAGTTTGACTTTTGTAGTTTTGGATATTTGCCATGTTACTGCAATTTATCTGAAAAAAAAAAAAAGAACGAATAAGGTTTGTATGCAATTTCTATGGTGTGTAGAAAATCCTTTGTGAAACAAGAATAAAAAGTAGGCAAACTTTTATATTAATACATGTTACGGAAATAGAATATAACTATTATATAGATATTTCAAAAAATAAAATTACATGCGTTCTTCCCCACACCAACAAAAACTTAAAAGCTAAAATGTTTAGGTATATTTTTTATCGGGGGTGGTATCAACATATTTTGGAAGATATTTACATAAAACAATGTTTGAAAAAGTAAGTCATGTTTATATTGATGGAGCTTATCTGTCATTATTTATTTACTTATTTACTAAATATACTATTCTACAAGTAATACCCAATTACAGAATAGGACAAACATATTTAGACGAAATATACAAAAATGGAAAATATTACAGAAAATGAAATACAGTGATGGGTATGTTAAAAAAAGCATTTTGATATGCTGAATTCTAATGTAGAATATATCCAGTTCCTGATTATAATTATTACACATATTATACAAAGGTGAATTATTTAAAATATTAGTATGAGATGTTGGTAAGTAAAATGAGTCCGAGTATCTCGAGGCTTGATGTGATACTTTTAAATTAGGCATATGTAATAGATATTCGCAGTTTATTTGATTGCTTATGACCTTATACAGCATAACTACAGAAAGATATTTTCGCCTTATATCGAGACTTGAAAATCCATGTTTATTTAATAAAGCATCGTGTGGGTTGCCAATGGGTGGATAAAGTATATTATGTCTAAAACTGAAGTATTTTAGGAATCGTCTCTGAATTCCTTCCAATCGACCAATGTGCACTTGATAGAGTGGACTCGATATAAGTGACGCGTATTCAAGCTTGGATCAGACAAAAGCATAATACAGACTTTTTATGGTATCTACTTTCTTAAAATCACAACTGTTTCTGATTATGAATCCATATGTACGATTAGATGAGGATGCAATACTATCGACATGGTCAGTAAAAGAAAGTGCTGAATCAAGTAGAACTCCTAAATCTGCAAAGTTTTTTGGTCTGTTTAAGGGAGTTTCTTCAACAATATACTGGTAAAAAGTTGGATCTGACTTTAAGGAGTACGACATGATATTGCACTTGGCTGGGTTCAATTTGAAATTATTTCTATGGCCCCATTCATTAACTTGTTTTAGATTTTCAGAAAGTCGCTCGCAGTCTGCAATACTATTTATGGAAGCATAAATTTCTCGCAAGAAGGCAGCTCATGCTGTATTCAAAAGTACTCGCTCAGCTGTTGATTACTTAAATTTTTCTAACCTTCGGTCTCAATGTAAAAATTAATCAAAACTAAATTATGAAAATTATATTTCTGGTATAGATCTGAAGGTTTGTGAAAATATAAAATACTTGTGGAACCACATTAATTCTTTGAAACAAGACCATGGCATTCCCAATAGAATGTATTATAATGGTACAATTGCTGATAATGGGAAAGACATCACTAATTTGTTTGCTAGGCATTTCTCCAGTGTTCATAAGAAAGATATTGTAGATGAGCTAAACCTTCATTATAATGCTTTTAACCAGCCTGATATTCCCTTTATACAGTTTTCCTTAACAGTCGCACTGGGACCCTAACTGGGTACTCGGAGAAAATGGAACAGGGGGGGTTAGCGACTGACCCCAGATTTTCTTGAATTCGGAACATGGGGGCTAGCGCCTGACCTTAGATTTTCTTTAAGTCAAGTAGGAGCTTAATGTGAAAAATGTCAAAAAGTCAAGGGACTTGGTTAAAATCAATTTTAATAATAAAAACTCATTTTATTTAAAAATTTTAATAAAACAGTGTTTAAATAGAATAACATTATTAAATATTATTACAGTTTGTACATTTTATAATTGTATTAATTTGTTCACTGGCCGTATGCCTAGGGCAAATGTACTTTTCGCAATTAGAACATGCCTTCATATATTTTCTATCAGCCGACCTTGGACAAATAAAACACCTTCCTTTTTTGGGATTTTTTTGCACAGCGGACCGAGTAGCTGGTCCGAGTGGCTCACGACGAACAACACCTCTTGTCGTTGACATTCAAACCCAAAAATTTTCAAAGCAGCTATGTATTTATTTTGAAGTCCCCTATATTTTGAACGACTACTCATGTTAATTTGGCAAAATTCCTTGCCTAAACATTTTAAAAAAAGTTTTCTTCCAGATTTTTGTTTCGGATTCTCTTTTGCCCAGTTCTCGTTGGCTTTTATGAAGAGAATGTAGGAGTTGTAGGCAACTATATCAATCAAATTGAAAAAAACTGCCATCGGCCATCTTCTTGTGCCTCGCCGACAACTATATGCTCTTACACATTTATCAAGAGTATCGACGCCAGCTTTTGTGGAGTTATAATATAAAATAATTTCTGGTTTATCATTCTGAATTTTCATATCATGATGTTGCGTAGAAAGAACAGTGACGAGCTTATTCTGTTTTGGTACATAACTTACAAGTGTTTCACGCTCCCGAAAACCAAAGCGAATAGTGCCAGGCCTTGCAGCCTTCAAAGATTGAGGTCTTAGTTCTGGTGGAACATCTTTTCTGTTACTCATTATCGTCCCCACGACTGTAAGATTTTGTTGCAACAAAGAATTTGCTATTGGGACTGCCGTAAACTTCCTGTCCATTGTGATGTTGCGACCACTGTTCTGCAATTTTGCTAATTCTACAAGACGTTTTACAACTTCTGGACCACTATTGTAATCTTTGGGTTGGTTTATTACTTTTCCTGTATATGGTTCTGCAGCAAAACAGTAGTAGTTTTCTGAGTCACAGAGCACATTAGCTTCAATTCCATATTTACCAGGTTTTGTAGGAATTAAACGAAATTTGCATCTGTCATGGAATGTTATTAGCTCCTCGTCTATTACAACTGATTCTGAAGGTACCAAAAAGTCTGGAAATTTTCTTGTGATAAGCTCCCATATATCTCTTGCTGCAGCAAAGTTATCATATTCTTTTCGAATTCCCCGAGTAGTTTGATCATCGAACCTAATACATTTTTGCAGTAGCTGGAAACGGTAAAGTGAAAACGTAGCCTTATAAATTGGCAAATTCTCGTTACTGAATAAGTCTATCAGTGGATCTTTGTTTTGCTTATAAGCACCTGCTGTTATCAATAATCCTATGTAGCCTAATATTTCTTCTTTTTCAAACCTTCTTGATTTTTGTATGAAAGAAGATTGTGGAGTACTTTCTTTTACAAGGGCGAGTTTTTGGTTTGTATGTTGAAAAATAAAATCAATGGTGTCGTCATCAAAAAAGAGTCGGAATGCTTCAAGTGGCATTTTAGGATTTATTCCCTTTTTTAGACCTGGGGCTTCGTTCATTATATTGGCGGCAATTTGTCTTCGTCGAGCAATAGGGTTAGGTTTCCAAGTAACACCTGATGCAGAAATCATATCAAAATTGGTTTGATTTATTATACCTTTAGGTCGTGGACGACGTCTTGCTATATTATCTAAAAAAAAAAAAAACAATAAAAACTACTATGAACTTTTCTGAGAATAGAATAGAATACCATTTTCTTCGGTATCTTCCTCTGTACTACTACTTTCTTCGACTGATTCCTGATCCATGATTTCGTTGGGAAATTCATCCTGCTCTAACTGAGCATTTGAAACTAAAACATACAAAAACTTATAGAATATAACCACTTTCAAATATTTGATACACTGCCGTAATATACTTTTGTGCTTTTTTGAAACTGGCTATTGATTTACTGGTATGTTACTCACCAGATGATTTATTTTCTGTTTCTTGAAGAAAATGACCAGACTGTTCACCTTGATCGACCTCGTATTCTTCGTCTGAGCTTTGCAAATCCGAATCTATGATTTTCTTGAGATCGCTATGCAAAAAATCTTCATCCCCATAAAGAGCTTCTTCCAATTCAGGATCAGTGAAATATCTTCCACTCATATCAAAATATAAATAAAACAGAATCCAAAAAATATCTTTATCAACACTGCACTGCCCAACAACTGTAATAAAACTGGTAAAACGTCGCGGAAGCTAAGCACATCAGTATTATTAGGGAGGCGCACGCATGTCGCTCGTACTACACGTTATAAAAACGTCCGGCAAAGGTAAAATATTTTACCAATTTCATCAAACCGTATGTTAACGGGTTGAAAAAATACGTAAAAAAAATGTCCTAAAAGGATTTTGAAGAGAAAGTAAAAATAAGTACGTAATGCTAAAAAAACTAAGCTGGGGTCATTGCCTGACCCTCCCGTTCCCAGTGCGACTGTTAAGAGATGTTTATGATGGTATTAACTCCCTAAAAGATAAATTGAGTTGGGGTCCAGATGGAATCCCTGTTTATTTTTTGAAAAAAATAAATTCACTCTTTCCAAACCACTACAGTTTTTATTTAATTCCTCTTTGAAATTACAACAGTTTCCTGCAAAATGGCGTGATAGTTTCATTACCCCCATATTTAAAAATGGTCAGAAAGATGACATAGTTAACTACCTATCGCCCTGTAGTTTTACTTTCTGCAATACCTAAATTATTATAATTATTGGTATATAAACCTTTGTCATGGCATTGCAAAAACATTTTGATTGAACAACAGCATGGGTTTATGGGAGGTAAGTCTACTAATACAAATTTACTACTCTATAAACATTATATCATTTCTGCCTTCGAGAGGGGGTGTCAGGTTGACTCAATTTACACTGACTTCTCGAAGGCATTTGACACGGTCAACCATCATTTGCTTTTAAGGAAACTAGTGAAATTCGGGTTTCCAAATTACTTAGTAAAATGGTTAGAAAGTTACCTGCAATCCAGGGTTCAACATGTCAAAGTTAAAAGTTTTACTTCGATTCCAATAAATATAAGTTCAGGTGTCCCCCAGGGATCTCATTTGGGACCATTACTATTTAATATATTTATTAACGATGTGGCTTCAGGATTTAAATATTGTAAGTTCCTACTATTCGCTGATG